GAGCAGGAATGAAACAGATGCACTCCTGAGAGCTCCTGTGCCTCCATTCGCTGGTTTCCTTTTGCTGCAGTGAACTGTTTGTTTGGGGAAAAGCTAGAAACAGGGAAATTCACTTCTATAGTCTTCTTGTACACAAAGGTCAAATCATCATAATGATTCAAATGTTTGATGTAAAATTCAATCTAACACACGTCTGGGTGTACAACATTTTCCAACAATATCTTCTGGGATGTTTTTTCTTAAAAGATTAGTGATTATCTGGTTTTCTGCCGCACCTGATGCAGCCCATCAAGGCCACTTAAAGACTTAAACATTTAAAGAAATCAAAGGGAAAAGCTCTCGCATACTGACTTCCTTTATCTATTTGTTTCATTCCTGCTCATTTCCTGACCAATGATTTGTTGTTAAGACCATTAAAAGCTTTTGCCATTTTGGGCTTGACCCATTTTTTCCCCCAGGAGTGTACAAAATTATATGTCAAAATAGTATACCACTATAATACTGTACTAACATTGTATACCAGTCTACTAACTAAACCTGTAAAATCTAATAGTGGGACATTTTGTCACTATCCTTCTCATTTACTGCCTGATTCTGAACTCTAAAAGCAGCAGGATATAAGTTTGAACACAGATGGAGAAAAACAAGTTTAACTGTGCATCACCAAGTCTTTAGGGAGCAACAGCTTAAAAAAAAAACCAATAACCACCCAAGACATCTTTTATTCCACAATTAATCATCTACTTAGACTGAATCAACCTCCACTGACAGTTATTGTTGTTTTCTTTCTTTTTAAATTTTTTTTAAGCAAATCTAGATGGCAGTATTCATTTTTCTCCATTTTATACACAATTATTAATAAGATGAAATCCACATTCTTGATCCTCTACCTACTGAAACGTTCATCTCTGGATGACCAGATGTCTTGATTAGATCTGCACTCACCGGCCACATTAATAGGAACACCTGCACATTCCTGCAATTATCCAATCAGCCGCTCATGTGGCAAAAACATGCAGATGCTGGTCAAGAGTTTCAGTTAATGTTCACATCAGCATGAAATATTAGTGAGTCGGGCTTCGCGATATAACAATATAATATCCATATCCTGATAAATCATGTCACAGTATGCTTTTCTATTTTTAAAAAATAATAATAATAATTATAAACTGACTAGAAGAAGCTGATGTGATGTACTTAATCTTTACAGATTTTTTTTTCTCCTTTTCAGTATTTTTTTTACAATGTTATTATGAACAAAAATGATACTTTCTAAATATAAAAAAATATTTTTGTAGCTATAAACATGTCAAACAAGAATTTCTTTGCTAGCAGTTTATTAGCAGGCCCTTGCAATATATATATATATATATATATATATATATATATATATATATATATATACTGTTGTTTTCAGGAGATGTTTTTTTCTTTAAGAAAATGTGAAAGTAAGTGAAAGAAAAAGAAAGTGAGCAGGCGATAATTACCTGAAAAGCGTTACACCATGTCCTTTTTGTCATTTTCACAAGACTTTTTTTCTGAAATAAAGGGACATGGTGTAATGGGGTATTTTAAGTTAATTACTGCTGCATAAATTATTCTTTAACTTTCTTATTTTCTTTAAGAAAAAAAAAACATGTGAAAACAACACATTTTCAAAAGATCATTTTCTGTTTACAAACCTATATATTGTGATACATACCATGTATCGTAGAAATGTCTTCAAGAATCACAGTATGACATTTTTGCCATTTTCCGTGTTTGATTACACTATAATATACAGTATATTGCACTGCTTGTGCACATGTATTACTTAATGCACTTCTTTTGCTGTTATAACGTTCCTCCTGTCTCCGAAACCAATTCTTTTGACAGAAGTGGTACACTGCTTTTCAGATCTTTGAGGACATCTAGATTTATCGTAATATTTTTTTTAAAGATATGTGCGTTTTTCTGTTGTTATAATCAATTATTATTATAAATCTGGTGTTTCTGTATTTTAAAGCGTCTAAACTGATAACAAACTGTTACAAATAACACAGCAGGCATCTACAGTCCCCTTCAAAATTATTGGCACCCTTCACAAAAAAAAATGAGCAAAAATCATTGTATGTAAAATAAACATTAAAAACGTACCTAATTCGAATAAGAGAAAATATTTATCTTTGTTCTAGCAAAGAATCGTTTTCACTAGAACTACTTAAATTTTTTTTTTTATAATAATATTTTCTCTCTAAAAACAGGTCTATATGTTCCACAATTATTGACACCCCAAAGGAATATTTTAAATAAATGCAAACATTCTTTCCAAAAACCTCTTTTTTTTTTTTTTATTTGCTCTTAGTCCTCACACTGTAAAACATTTCAAGCTGGTTAAACTTAGCGAAAGTTCACCTGCTGCCTTAAAAACGTGAGTAAACTCAACTTGCAGATAATCTTTGTTTCAGCTCAAAAGGTTACGTGTTGCAAGTTGTTTAATTAATGATCATTTGTTGTTTCAACTTGATACTTTGAGTTAAAACAACATACTATATAACATTATCAATTTAAGAAAATTCACATTATATGTTACGCAAAAATGAAATTACACAAGCTTTAACATAGGCTTGGGGATACATTCCTAATAGGGAAACCGGTTCTTTTTAAAAAAAAAAAAAAAAAAACCTGTTTAAGAATAAAACTGCCTAAACATCCATTTTATCAAAATAATATCCAGGTTTCTCCAGTGTTTTACAGAACTGGGAGAAAGGTAGAAAAGAGTGACAGAGAGGTATAGAAAAACTAAGAGCGGGAAGAAGGAGAAAGACAGACAAATGGAGATGGAATGAGTGTGAAAGAGGGAGCTCGAGAGTGAGATGGAGAAAGAGAGAAAAGTGATGGAATCAGTGAGAGCGATAGAAAGAGAAAGAGTAAGAAAAGGGAGATGGAGAACGAAAAAAGTAAGACAAATAGAAATGGAATGAGTGAGAGGGTGATCTTGAGGGAGAGAAGGAGCCCGAGGGAGGGATAAGGAGGGATGGATCATGTTCGATGATACAAAATAGCATAACTGCTTGTGAATTACGTTAAAGCTTAAGGTGTACTCTATATGAACAAGTTCACCTAAATTTTTGACCTTGGAATGGTTTGAACGATACTTGGTCATTGACTGTTATGAATATGTTGAACGTTACCTAAGCGGTAACCTCTTTATACAAGCAACAAGAAGCATGTGTAATGTTTCTGCCTCTAATGGTTGCTCAACGGTGCAAAATGACAAAGTTTTCCTCCAAGTAAACGCTTGAAGTGTAAATATACCTCTTGACCAACATTCGTTCTTGTGGTAGCTCAGTGGTTATGATGTTGGACTACTGATTGGAAGGTCATGAGTTCAATCCTCCGCACCACTAAGCTGCTACTGCTGGGCCCTTGAGCAAGGCCCTTAACCCTCAACTGCTCAGTTGTATTTATATAAAAAAAAAAAAAAAAAAAAAAAAGAGAGATAAATGTAAGTTGCTCTGGATAAGGGCGTCTGCCAAATGTAACTCTATGTCATGTTTCTGTCTACAATTTTTCAACATTATGTACCCAGTTGCTCTGCAAGAGCAACGCTGAACAGTGCACATTAACATTAACACATTTCCTCTCAGCAAAGACTTCACACAGTAATTTTTACTAACAATTAACTACCTGTTATTAAAAACAAATCCAAACATTTATGCATCTGACATTTTTCAGCAGTACTTGGGTTTCGTTTGGCATGGTCTGTAAGATCAGTTTTGAACAGTGTCAAGTAACTAAAGTGTCCTCCAAAGGCTTCAGATGTACCAGCATTCAAAGTTGCTTTCAGAACAAGTCTATATAGGTTTTCACCTCTGTTTTTCAACATTTGGTCCATACATTACTATCTCTGGGGAAGCAATGTTCAACACAAGAGTTTCCTCCAGCTCCCTCCCAGTTAAGGCTTGAGATCAGTCTATAAAGAATACCTCAGCAGTTTGTTTCTATGTCCTAGCAGAACAGTGGTCAAGTTTTATCTTCATGATGACTCTCTGTAGGAATTCAAATGAGTACCTCATATTGCGAGGGTTCTCCAAATTAAGGCAGTAGACGGGACCCATTAGCATGGCAAAACCAGTGGGCGCATCTCTGAGGTCATGAAGAACAGTTGTCTCCTCTACCACCATGGCCACATTGAAGATTTCAAGAGGAAAAGCTTCATGCAGGACACCTTCAAGTCCAATCAGAAGTCCAACATGCATTCCCTACATGATAACATCCAGGGTTTCACCGTGAACCTAAAACAAATGGACAGATTTAGTCTTAATTCACATTGCACGTAATTCTAATAAATAACATGCTATACAGCTGGTCAAGATATGGACACTAAAGAGACTTTGGAAAGAGTTCAGATGGACCAGTACCAATTTGGTGCAAAGCTTATTACTCATAAGTTGGAGTGCAAGAAGAAAGAAAAAACGTACAATATCAGCTCACATAATTTGTATATTATTCAACAGGTGTATTGTTTTCACAGAATTCTGGATGGACCAGTGACCCCCTCTGCCCTTTAAAAAATTTAGAAAGGCCAATTGTCCCCCTTGCAGACAATCTTGGCTCAGACAAACGCTGAACCTACAGTATTTCAACTGCTATGTCCATCCTTAAGCTGGGTGAACCCACTGCCTGCTTATTTTTTATTAAAGATCACAGGTGCTGAGCGGCAGGCTACAAGCACGGAGAGCAAAGATTAAACTAAAAAAAAAACTGACTGGAAGAGGCTTAAAATTGTGGCGGTGTAACCAATTACACCTGATAATCAGTTATGTATTTATCGTGAATAATTATATTACTGCTGAAGTACAGTTCCAATCAGATGCCCTTTCAGCAATCTGCATTGTCATAAACTCTCTTAAAAAAGTAGCCATCACTAGTTATGTAAAACTTTTCGAACTGATAGTAGGATTTAAATTATGTACTAAGCTTTTGATGAAAAAGGTTCTGTGATATTGGCAAGAAAAACTGACATGGAAAATGTTTACTTCAGTATAAAATGAATACCAGTGAATCCAGTATCATCAATATCTTAAGTGTAAATTTATGTTCTTACATCACATATCTTGATTATCTCAGAAGCATCCTCTGAAAAGAAGCACAGGAGACCAAAAAGGGCAGCTGTTCTTCTGTTCTGTCCTACATACAACTATAAACAAGAGTGAATGCAATGCTTAAACTAGGATCCTTATTTTAGTATACATTGATAAGTTCATTTTCATTCATACCTCCTTATGAAGCCAACCTCCTGCTTGATAAAACAGCTGCTTTGTACAGCTCTCAGAGGCTTGGCACCAAGGCATTTGGTCCATCCAGGAATGACTGCAGCAGATCTGTGGTGACTATTCAACTGACCTCTGCACTTATCTGAAACAGACACATAACACAGCAGAGATGAGGGGTAATAAGAGAGGATAAAAAGAGGAGCAGAGAGTAGTGTGGTTTCATGTATCCATGATGGCCATCTGTCCATGACTACAGAGACGAGTGGCTCGTCACCAATGATTTCCTTTCTTCGCTGAGAGAATGTTGCAGTCATCAGTTCGTCCAGGAGCTGCAAGTCTGGATCATGCTTCCGCACCTCTTAAAGCATGGTCTTCTGATTCTCCTCTGATGTAACTGCACTGTGTCCTTCAGGTGGATCTGGCAAGGAGTGGATCTCTCCCTTCTGTGACTTCTTCATTGCCTTCCTGTTTGTCTTTCCCCTCTTTGTCTTATTTACAAGAACTTCAGGGCAGCCAGCTGCCATCAACCTCTGATGGTAATTGCCCATCTTAATTTTCAAGCTGAATACCCAGCAATACCATCCTTTGGCAGAACCTGGCTCTCTGAGACAAGTGTGCTTTGCTACAAGAGCTACACACTTTCATAATGATCCTTACTTGGATAAGGAGTGATTTTGGATATCATATCAGCTAGTTTTCCAGTATTTCACTCTTAACGACCTTGGAGACGACCATCACTGTTCCATCCCTGGCATAGGCATCATTTGCTGCACTCAGCTGAAGTTCAACATCATGGGAGAAATCAGGAATAACAAAAGGACCAGGCCATTCCACTGATGAAGCACTAGATGGGGAACTCAAGCTTGCAGTATCTAATGTTGAGTCAGAAACTGAATCAGAAAACGTGAACAAAACTTTCTCGATCAGTTGGTAGATCATTTACAGTGATAGACATTCGGCAACTCTACAGACAGGTCCAGCTATGATAAATGATTTAATTTCATACTTTTATTAATATGTTAATCATTTATCTATTCGTTATTTATTATCATTAGGTAGTCTTTCATAATATTCTGTAGTCACACATTTATGTTGGCTAAGTCTAGCACATCTGCTTCTTGTTATTTAGCCTTGTGTGTGTGAGACGGCAGGAAGAAGTCCCTGTAGGCCTGATTTAAGCCATAGAGAGAGTCCTACTCCATCAAGATTGCATCTGTCAAATCGCAGAGCTCATTTCCAAAGTCTGGATCTTCAAACTGTAGAATGAAGTTTCCTCGCAAGCCCAGATTGGTGCGCAGTGCTTCACATAGCTCCTTGACTGACGCAGGAACACTCTCTAGGGTGACACAATAACTCTGAGAAGCATCTTGGAGGCCTCAACAGCTGCACCAGGGTAACACACACACACGAAAAAAGCTGAAAGTAGTAGAAGCAGCATAGACTAAGCCCATGAAATTGTACTATATGAGTAAAGAACTGCACGGTCTGCAGTAAATGCGTTGTGTGATTGCACTAGGCAACGAGCATAAAAATGAGCAAGGGTGTGTTTACTATACCTTATTCTAACATGAATGTATTTGGAGTGCTGAGCAGCTTTCCGTCTGAGATGAGAGTAGATGAGAGATGAGAGTCTTTTTTGGCTAGTCTTTTTTGGCTAGAGTCTTTTTTGGCTAGCTGGTAACACCTTAGATGCTCCAAGAAGCCAGCTGCGAACAGTTCAATAATGAAAAATATGCAGCCATCCACTAAACAGATCCCGAGTACTCTCCCAAAATCTGGTAGTTCACTTGTGTGCCCAACTGAGAGCACCATTCCTTTGGAATATTTTGTCCCATTTAAATAAACAGTGGAAGTGAGTGAAACAGAGTCCAGACCTTTAAACTTGTTCAATATAGCCACACTGACAGTAGCATCTAAGATGCCTACAGATACAACAGATAGCCGCCCATGCTAACATTAGCTGATGTATTGTGGCCAAAGTGTGTAGAATATTTTTGCAGTTACCAGCATCATGAACCACCTTTTTAAAGAAAGAATGTCTAGCCTCAAATAGTATTTGTCCACAATTCAATTAGGGGACCAATTTTTTGATTAGCATAGGATTAGCATAATGTTCCAGATAATGATGTTTAGGGTGCAAATTAGTACAAGGAAAAACCTCTAATAGCAACTGTCAGTGGTTAGAGATTTTGGCTTGTAGGTAGCACAGATTTTGTAGACCCTGTAGGTAGCACAGGGTTTCTGTTGTGAATGAGGGGCTGGATAACAACTCATCAATGTCTTTTAATTCAAGAATTACGTGCCACGTTTTTTCACGCTCTGGAATCCGGTGGCCAACCAACAGCGGAAGAAATCTCAGAAATGCCTGGTTCTCATGTCCATCACCACCTATAGCTCAATTTTTTTTTTTTGAAAGCTTGTTTGTGTTGTCTGGTGTCTGTTAGTTTTGTCATAGAATTGAAAGTGGAATATTGTTATTCTATCATTAAAGTCATTCACTGTAAAATACGTCTTAGCAATCAAATGCAGAGTTCCACAGGTACAATTCCTTCTAATGCATCGTGTAGAAAATCAGGTGGAAATCCTTTTGCAGCATGAAAGTGGGCCAGTCTGTTTAGGGGCCAGTCTTGCTTTACACCATCAGTACAAGACGCATCACTTTGCTTAAGCACATTAACCGCTTCATCAAACGATTCTGGTCTCAACGTAAAAACCCCACTTCTGACACCATACTGCTGAATATCTACGTGATTTGCCGAACAAAATCTGCAAAACTTGTCAACGTTGGAAGACTCTTGGAATCCAGCAAGTGAGTGTGCACCCAGGTTGTCTGAAGATACATACAAAACTGTCCTTTTTACATTCGAGCCAAGACTCTGAACAAACACACCTTCTCTCTAGAGGAGCTCAAGATCCCTAATCAGAGCCTCTAAACACACCCAATATATACCACAAACTTCATGCTTCTTTTTGAAGTACCTAATGGATTACAAAGTTCAAAATCATCAATATATAGTCCAAGAGCTATGCCTAAGTCTTCAGAGAGAATTTTGTATTCTTTAACGTATTCTCCATCTTGAAATAAACTGTAATGACCTTCAGGTTGACTGGATCTCTCTAGTGTCTGAAGTA